GATGAGATTCTGCTGAAACGTTGCTACAACTTTAAAAGCACAACTACTATGACGTGGGAAAATACCCGAGCAAAGCCGAATGCCATATGTCATAGTAGTTGTGCTTTTAAAGTTGTAGCAACGTTTCAGCAGAATCTCATCTGCCATCATCAGGCTTCTGTAGAAACGTTGCTACAACTTTAAAAGCACAACTACAATGACTTGGGAAAATACCCGAACAAAGCTGAATGTCATACATGTAAGTACCCGCGAAAACTTAAGAAAACAAATAGATAGATAGATAGATAGATAGATAGATAGATAGATAGATAGATCAGAGATAAATCTATATAATTATAGTCTATGTGCTGTGTTCTATATTCTATAGCCATATGCAGAGATAAGGTATACATTTTTAGCTATACAATGTAAGTATAACTACATAAATATTATAAATTAAATATGAATATTTATATAAATCTCCATTTTCTGGCAGTTTCAACGACTTCTCATTGATCCTACCCATATGCCAATATACCAATTTTATTTCCTCTTTTGACCTATATTTATCATGTTTAACTTGTAAAACATTTCTGTGCAGGTTTCCAAGTTGCCATACCAAAGAGGGAAAGGAGCAGACGGCAAATGGACGTTCCAAGCTTATTTTACAGCAATTGTAACTGAGCCTACCGCGAATTCTGGGCTTGAAAATCCTCTTATCGGAGAATGTGATTGATGACACCCAGCCCATGAATGTGTTCTGAATTATGATACATCCAGAGGGGTGGGGGAACAGTGCGTTCCATAAATGTTTTTAAAGATAGTAACTGAAGTTCCTACCAAGCAAAATTCTACCTGGAGAGCCTGATGGATGACTCTGGGCTAGGGAGGTGTCCCATTGGAGGATATAAATTACGATACACCCAGGGAGTGGAGGGAAAACCGGGGTCAAGGGGGACAGTGAATGATGTGTCTCCGAGTCGGCTGCACCCAGGCAATGCCGGCATGTTAACTCCCAATAAATCCTTTTGAAGTTTTGGAAGTTTGGCTCGAGACTCAGGATTTGAATGAATACGCCGGTTGTTAAGTAAATCTTTGGCGGATCCCTCAAGATCAAGTCCCTGCCATTAACCAGAACGAAATCCTCTTGGATCTGTCTGAGATCCCTACCTGAAGATCCGGTAAGGTGTGGTCAAGTCAAAGCATCTTCGGTCCACGTCTTTCACGTTGCCCACATTCATGTCAATGTAGGTGATGCCAATCCCCAGCCGGAACTCCTGCACCAAGAAAGACACACACAGACACACACACACACACACACACATGCCAGGATTACCCACACAGGAAGCAGAGGGGCAGACTTAAAAAAAGAGGGAGGAAAACTAAACCCAGGGGTGCAAAGCAGAACAATAACAGAATAACAGAATTGGAAGGGACCTTGTAGGTCATCTGGTCCAACCCCCACCCCGCCCAAGCACTCCAAACTTAAGATCTACAGACCCCTCACATCCCAGACATAAACTGTTTCACTACCTCGACGCTATAGAGCCCTGCACACCAGAACAACTAGACACAAGGTGTTTTTTTTCCTCAACGCCATCACTCTGCTAAACAACTAATTCCCTCAACACTGTCCAACTCTTTACAAAGTCTGCACTATTATTACTATTAATCTTCTCATCACTCCTATCACCCATCGCCTCCCACTTGTGACTGTATGACTGTAACTTTGTCACTTGTATCCTTACAATCTATATGGACTGTTTCCTAGTATGATTTGATGGCTTATTGTACCCTATGACTATTATTGTTGTACCTGATGATTCTTGACTCTTGACGAATGTACCTTTTATGTGCACTGAGAGCCTTTGCACTAAGACAAATTCCTTGTGTGTCCAATCACACTTGGCCAATAAAGAATTCTATTCTATTCTATTCTATTCTATTCTATTCTATTCTATTCTATTCTATTCTATTCTATTCTTATTCTAATTCTAATTCTAATTCTAATTCTATTCTTATTCTACCCTATTCTTATTGTACCCTATGGCTATTATTAAGTGTTGTACCTTATGGTTCTTGATTCTTAATGAATGTACCTTTTCTTTATGTACACTGAGAGCCTTTGCACCAAGACAAATTCCTTGTGTGTCCAATCACACTTGGCCGATAAAGAATTCTATTCTATTCTATTCTATTCTATTCTATTCTATTCTATTCTATTCACCCCACTTTACACCTGGACGCAAAGCAGCTTCCTTAACTCTGAGGCCAACCCTCTAAGGCTCTGGTTTGGTTTGGTTTGGTTTGGTTTTCAAGAAGAGTTCAAAAGCCCATTTCAACCTCAAAAACAACCTGATCAAAAACAGCCACTTCCAAACTCGGAAACCTCACCTTCGGAAGTCAAATGATCTCCATCTCAGATATTAGGGTTGACATTGGGGTATTATTATTTTGCAACAGGTCACCAGGAATGATTTTGGGGAGGGGGGCATAAACATTCTTAATAAATAATAATAAAAACTGCATTCCGCCTGTCCCCCAGAAGGGGCCCTGAAGGGCATCCAGTCCAACAGCATTTTGTAAATGGTCTGAATCTGAAATTTGGGTGGGGACTTTATTTTCATAAGCCTCCAGGAGTTACAGTGAGTGATTTGGGTGGCCGTATACATTTTCTTAATAAATGATCATGGTGATGATGATACTAAAAAATAAGTAGTCGTAGTTGTAGGAGTAGTGTAGTAGTAAGAAAGAAAGAAAGAAAGAAAGAAAGAAAGAAAGAAAGAAAGAAAG